GATCTGATCAAGTTTATATTCTTGCTCAGCATCAACAGCCAAGGCGCTATAACCATATCCGTCTCTTCCTCCATCTCTTTCTATACATACCAATATCAATATCTACTATATCATATATTTCCTGTAAAAACAAGCGAAGAACGCCGTTTTACCTTCTTTTTATTGACTCTTGTCTGATCAGATCTGAGGCCTTGCGATTATGGGAGTTGATTTATGGACTCTATTAATGGCAAATTGTGATTTACAAATTATGAACTGATTTTATGAAATTGATTGCAAATATACATATATAAAGTTGATTTGGCTTAGTCATATATATGAACTATGGACTATGTGGTATGGTATATGGTATATTTCACTACAATCCTCACTTTTGTTTATCAGCTGGCATATATTTTTGAATTCTATCCGTAAATTGCAATGCTTACTGCGACGCTGATTAGGAATAGTCGTAACATCTAAAAACTTTTAATATAATATATACCAAGAATCCATAGTATGTTTGCTTCGAATATATTTCTATAAAATTCTATCATAAAAAACAGATTTTTTAGACAAATCTCATTCGAAAAGCTTTCAAAATCTAACAAAGTGTACACAGATATCGATATCTATATGTGGGTAGTCGCTGGTATTTCTTATTTATTAAATTCTTAGCTTTCCACCCATTTTCCGTTCATTTCCAAAATAAGCGCATTCACTTTACAAGTGTTTGCTTATATAGATATTTACAAAGGAATCTTAAGTCGATGGGCGAAAAAAATCAATTATCACCTATTTTTCACCTTTTGTGGTGGAATTGGCAAACATAAGAAATTTAGTTTCCCAGCCATGACTCTTATGTGAAGTCTTATCTTGAAATTGAAGCGCATACCGCGCCGTTTATCTTGTGGTTATATATAGTTTATGACATCATGGTGCTCGAAACATGAGCGCTATCAACGTATACTTATCGGCTAATTAATTGATCGGTACAACCAAAGTATATCCAAATAACATCTTAACATATCTTGTGGTTATATAAAGGCATGTATTTTATCTTTGTATCGATTGGGTTGGGGTTTGGGTCTGGTTTAGTTAATTCTGGAGCTGCTGCAGCAGCCAGTCATAGTAGCCGGAAATGCGTACAAAGACATCCGGATACCGTGAGCCGCAGGCGCCCACCACAAAATTACTAACGCCCAGCAGTTTGCCCTGGTAGACAGCTGCGCCGCCGCCGTCGCCATAGCAGGTGCCCTCCTTGAGGGCATGTGCCAGGCAGAAGCCTTTGCTAGCCTCCAGCTCACTGTACGCATCCAGGCAAGCCGCGCTCGTGGCGAGCTGCAAGTCCAGCTGACGTATCTTAAAGGAAGCAATGCCGTCGACGGTGGTGCCCCAGCCAGCTACGCTGATCACAGCGCCATCCTCGGGCAGCGCCTCGTTCTGATCGGCCAGCTCAATGGGTTGGATGCGTTCCGTGAACACAAGCGGACTGCTCAGCGTAACGATGGCCAAATTGTTGTCCAGCTTGTTGTAGTCCGGATGTGGCGTGACGGCAGCAACGGTAACAATACGACCGCCCGCGTATTGATTGGTGCTGCCCACGCGACACGACAAGCGGCTGACATCGATCCTGGCGAGAATCCAGAAATTAGTTTAACTCGAGCACACGAAGCGTGGTCGGACTTACTGTTTGCCATCCCGATAGACGCAATGGGCGGCGGTCAGCAGCTGTGTCTCCGACACGATGCTGGCGCCGCACACGTGCGCATTGTCGATGCGCAGGGACACGGCGTAAGGGGCCGCCGTGGTCAGCGCCTCCTCCCCGCCCAGAATGCGCCCCTGCGGCGCGCCCCCGATGGCTGTGGCCAAGCCAAGCAGCAGCAGGGCTCCCAGTGTCTGCATTATGTTCATCTTTAGGCGCCAATTGTTTCTATTCCTAATACTTTTCAAACTCGAATTGGCTCCTCGGGCCTGTTGAAGTCGTTTCTGAATGCGCAGCGCAAATGCCGCCAAGTGAAGAGCTCAATGGGAAGCCTTTGCCCGCTTCGGCGACTTATCGCATGGCTTTTGGCTGGCTACTAAATCTAATCTTATCATGGCCAGCAGCTAATTTCAACTGTTATTGTTATTATTCTGGCAATAAATTTGCCATATTATTGGCCAATATAAAGGGAGCCAGCACGGGGGCAGGTGGGTTTTCGATTTTAAAAGTGACATCAGTCAATAGATAGCCCGGAGGGCCGATGACTCAAATTATGATCGAAATTATTCGTAATGGGTCTACTAAACATATTACATATTTATCATGCTCTTTATGCTCGTTAAGCATAAATAGTTTTAGATTGTTTCTGCCTAGGTAAATCGTATTGTTTCGAACCGGTTCGAGCCTGGAATAACAAGTTACTTTTACAATTAACCGAACTTGCAACCAAACCAGTTACTCAAAAAACAGCCGAGCCAAACCCAAACATACAATATATAAATCGTTTAATTCAGAATAAAGAAAACTTTTAAAGAAATTCTTAAAAACCAGGTTCACGAGTCGAACCGAAAGGTATTGAGTTGGTTCAAGCCGTGAACCGACCCACTTATTTAATTGCGTTTGCAGCCCTGGTTATAAATTACACTATACCAACATTTTCGAATCTTGTACATTTTTCATCCTTTATAAAAATTATATATTTTCGATCAAGAAACTGAAGCGATCCTGTTGTAAACTAGCCGATATTCTTCTTCATATTATATGCATAGATCAGGCAAACTTCAGATGGATGATATAACAATATTTTTTGTTTCCTGTTGCTATAGAAACAGTAAAAAACCAGATGAAATTTCGAAAATGTTGATTAACTAGTGCAGAGAGTGAGGTAAAAGCTCATGTTAAAAACTTTACATCTGATAAACTTCATGTTAGTGTAAAAAGTTTTATGTGCAAATTCTATGAAGGTATTAACTAGCGATTTTACGATTGATCTGTTTATAATTTAACATTTGCCTTTTCAATTTTCTGTTCAGAAATCACCAAATAGATACTGGGAACTGATCGATTGTTGGCGGATCGTTGTATGCTTACCGTTCATTCTCTTTAATCTATTGATGGTAGCGGTTCTCTCTTTTTCCGCGAAATCGAAATTAGCTATATCAGTTGATCGCATGCTATCAATTCGAGTGGCTCGAAAAATACGGCACCTTTGTTCGATCTAATTTAGAGTAAACTCACGCTATCTAAAGACCCATATAGTACATACATGTGTATGTACGATACAATCGGTTGGCCGTTAGTTACCTTCAGATATGGCCAACTGGAATTTATAGGGCCTTATAAATGGATCGTACTTTGTTTAGCTTTCACATACGTAATGCCCGTCCAGCCTAAAGCCCATAAAAATATCGTGAATTGGCAATAGAAAAACACACGCTACACTTTTTTTGTTTTTGTTTTTTTTTTACACTCCACTCAGCTTATTGCACAAGAAAAAAATATCAAAAAAAAAATAAAGGGGCGGGGGGAGGGGGTGATTAGGATTTATTTGGGTCTACGGAACTCTTTTTGATTTCCTAGCTGCTGCATTACTGCTTATTGGCCTCAATCCAGCTGATATAGTAGGAGATGCGGGTGGAGACGTCGGGGTAAATGGTGCCACAGTTGCCCCAGAAGAAGCTAATCAAGCCCAATAGCACCTGGTCGTCATCAACGACAGCGGCGCCAGCGTCGCCGCGGCAGACGCCCTGCTTCTCGGCTCTGGACAGGCACAGCACAGAGTCGTAGCCATAGCCAGCGGATAGCTCACATTGTGGTTTGCTCAACGTGTTTAGATTGGACTTCTGTAGCTTGTAGTTGGATGAACCGTCCGCCTGCTCGCCCCAGCCAGCCACATAGACGGGTGTGCCATTTGGCGGCTGCTCCTCATCGTCCAATTCGCTGCTGCCCTCCTCTGGAGCCGCGGGCAGATCAATTTTGTTCACCTTCTCGCTGAAGGTCAGTGGCTTGCTGAGCGTCAGTATTGCCAGATCGTGCAGAAAGTTGCCATACGAGGGATGGATGAGCACCTCGCTAATGCCCACCAGTTCCCCGCCAGCAAACTGATTGATGCTGCCCACGCGAGCGCTCAGCTCGATAGCCGAAACGCTGTCAAACAGAGGGCGAGAGAGACAGAGAGGGAGCGAGAGAGAGAGAGAGAGAGAGAGAGAGAAATGTGAATTTAACTGGATATGAAAGAAGGAAACCGTTGTTGAAAAACCCACAGCTGGTGCACTCGATCGAACTGGGAAAGCGACATATTGGATGACTTAGGCTAAGCTCAGAAATGCCGTACAATGAAAGCGAGCCGCACTGTACTTGAATGAATATGACATATTACGGATCTGAGAGAGAGCTGGCAGAGTCAAGGATAAGCTCAAAAAAACAGAAAATCGATAGGTATAGATTATCGATTTCGTGGAAACGGGGTTCGTTATCGATGACTCGAAATAAACTCAGCTCTGAGATAAACATACGGACAAATGGACTTTTTCTCCCCATTTCTAATGGGTTTAGGGTTTTTATAAGAAACCCAACTCCTCGCTTTAATTAAGCTCGATTTTCTTGGGGCTTAGCTTGGCCTGGTACTTACGGATTGGCGCCCACATCGGACACACAGTGTGCGGCGGTCAGCATTTGTGTCTGGGATATGATGGTGGCTTGGCACACGTGCGCCTTGTTCAGACGCAGCGATGCCACATAGGGAAACTCGGCCACCTTGGCATCCTCGCCGCCGAGCAGACGTCCCTGCGGCAGGGCCACAGCCAGAGCCAGGGTCAGGGCCAGAGAAAGCGCTGCGAGCGACATGCGTTGATCAATCATCGCGTCAAAATGTTAACTAAATCGCCGCTCGATGGCTAAGCCGCTTGGCACTTCGGTCTGCATCTAATCTGCGCAGCCACGATAAGCATTTAATATGACCTGGTCGCGATTAGATTGGCGGTCATAAAAATGTTGGCGCCTGTATAAAAGTCTTCGGCCCGAGGCCGGCTCCAATTAGTTTAAATTGATCCCAAAATGCGCCCAGTTCATACTGTTTGCCTGCTATTCCTGCTGCTCGGTGCAGCTGTAAGCTCTGCGGCGGCGCAGAAGGGTCGACTGCTGGATGGCCAGGCGGCTGCTGTTGGCTCCCATCCCTACAGCGTCTCGCTGCAGCGAAATGGCGCCCACATCTGCGGAGGGGCTCTGATCAGCAACAAGGTCTGCCTGACCGCCGCTCATTGCGTCACCGTCGGCGGCATTGAAAGGTAGCGCAGCGCATGTGGCAAGTCTTTCGATTATATTGATGTATTAATTGCCTATACTGCCCGTATAGCTATCCGGCACGCAGTTTCTTGGTGCGCGCGGGCAGCATTCAGCGTGTGGCTGGAGGTCAGCTGGCCCAGGTGGCTCGCATAGTGGTGCACCAGGACTATGCGAACGGACTTAATGATCTGGCTCTGGTTGTTCTCGAGCAGGCCCTGACCCTGAACGCCAATACACAGCCCATTGCTCTGGCTAGCCAAGCACCGCCCGCCGGCGCGGAGATCACCTACACCGGATGGGGTGCCATAAGCAACCAGGGCACGCTTAGCCAACGCCTGCTGGTGGGCAGCCGCCAGACAATTAGTGCAGCCGACTGCCAGAAGCAGCTATACATAGATGACGAGGGACTCTTGTGCCTGGTCTCAGCATCAGAGACGTCCTCCAACGGCATCTGTCATGGCGATGCCGGTGCACCGGCTGTCTATCAGGATGAGCTGGTTGCCATTGGCGGCTTCTATGCTGACGTTTGCGGCAGTTCCCTGCCCAATGGATTTATGAGTGTTGTCCACTACCTAGACTGGATTAAGGCCAATATGTAAAACATCTCGCCATTTGCACCCTTCAATTCGATTGATCTGCAGTCGGTTCCACGACCTATGCACGATATTATCCGACGCTCCATGTGCCAACACGAAGGCTTTCTTTTGATATACTTTTCATATAAGATTCTTAAAATAAAATTTACTCGCTGCTCGATACCCAATTTAGGTTCAAGCAAGATCGTGTGAGTTACCAACAAAATATCCAACGGTTGCAAATTTGCCATATTCAAATATTGATATGGTATCTGGCCTGGAGAGATTAATCATTGGAATATGATCGCTATGATAGCTATCCTCTTTTACCCTTTAACGATCATCTTTGGCATGCTGAAAATTAAATAAACATTTCACAGTTCGAAAAATAATTATAATACCCTCTGCAAAGGTATAAAGTGGGCTTCTCAGAGCTCTAAATAAGATCTAACAAGATAACTGATTTTCAACAGAATTTTATATCATTTGCTCAGGCAAAACCAGGAATACTGGTTGTTATATATTATATGGTATATGTACATAACTTCGATTTGTTATCTTAATGTAGAGTATCTGACTGTCGGATTCTGCTTTTGGATAGTTTGCATGCCGATTCCTCGGAACTCGCACTGCGACTTTTGAATCTGACCAAGACTATATATGTATGTACCTTATAGATCCGGAAATGCTTCCTTCTAACTGTTACATACATTGGCACAAAACCAATATACCCTTTTAACCATTTTCAATGGGCTCAGGGTGTAAATATAACCTGAGACGTGGTGTTCAAGATAGTACGCGTAGATTAAAGTTTCCCATGGTCGGTATATGTTTGTTTTGAAGGAATAAAAACTTGGCCCAGACTAGGATGTATTAAAGTACGAAGGTTTTTCAGTTTGCTGGAGAATTCCTCCTAGTTATGCACCCATTAAGATCGTTAAGGCGTTCAGATCGTCTGGCCAGCTGGGAGTATGGGAATATTTTTGTATGGCGCGACTGTGTGAAGTGGAGATGGGCAAACATTTGAAACGTGTGGCAGGGGCTAATCTCAAGTAGACCAATTGAAAAGCGAGCCACACTGGAGTGGAGTCAAATATTTTGGCTATGACAAATTTGTGTGTCGATAGCGAATAGTTTGGAACGAACTTTGAATCCGATTAAGAAGACAACGTTGTCTGCATTGGGGGGCAATCTTTATTGGGAAGGGAACATTAGGTTATTCCATCTGCTTCTGGATCCAATCGTAGTTAGCGGCAATGCTGATGAAGCGTTCGGGCAATAGGCCACCGCACTCGCCTAAGAGCTGAGCGGCGAGGCCCACTAGGGTGCCATCATAGACTGCGGGACCGCCAATATCGCCGGTGCAGATGCCTTGACGTCTCTGGTGGCCCAGGCAGAGCACCTGATCGTTGTCAATAAGCGCATCATCGACCAGGCGGCATTCACGCTCTGACTCCACAACGGCGAGGCCAACCTGCAGGGTGCGGTACATGTTCGCCTCCGACTCCTGGGTGCGTCCCCAGCCGGAAATGTCGACGTAGGCGCCCACTGGTGGATTCTGTGTGGCCAACGGCAGGGCGCCAATATCCGAATTGAAGACCAGGGGCTCGGTCAGACGCAGCAAAGCGATGCCAGTGTTGAGTTCCTTATAGTTGGGATTCACTGTGATTTCCTCAACGCGTATGCGCTGACCGCCATTGTAGAGATCCACAGTGCCAGCCGAAACCATAAATAGCTGTGGTGGCCATCTGTATGGTGGAGTATAATGTTGTAGTAGTATCCAGGATCAACGGATCTATCGCTAGCTACTTACGCAGTATCCTTGCCGGCCGAGCATACACAGGTGAGGGCAGTCAGGGCATAGCGTTCGGCAATGATGACTGCTCCGCAGTTGTAGCTGCCGCCAACGGAGAGCGCCGCCTGGTAGGGCAGCTGGCCCAAAACAGCATCTTCGCCGCCAACAATGCGGCCCTGGGGGCCAGCATTGGCCGTGGAGCAGCCAAGGAGCGCGAGCCCGAGCAACACAAAGGCAGCAGAGAATTTCATTATATTTCTAATGGGCCAGATTGATGTAAGCGGTTAGCTTTTATAGTCGTCGCGGGGTATCAAGGCTAGATAGTTATTTTTGCAGTTATAATATATCTGTGCATATATGTATGTTCTTGGGCAGTATCTTATCGCAGCATTGATGAGATACGTCCCATCCGGTTGGTATCTGATTAGACAAGCAGAAGTGCGCCCCGCCCCGCCCAGCCATTGATCCATTTCAACGGAATTCGAGCTGGTGCGGCTGGACAAGCACAAATCAATGAACTTTGATTGCGTTTGCGGGGAACACGTTTGCAGTTCGCATGGGTGGAACTGTCTGTTGGGGAATTGTGGGGCCAATGCACTCAACGCTGCCGCCGCGGCCGCCGCCGGCTGGCCAAATTGAAGCACGTACCTTGAGCGGCCATTCGTTTTGGTCAGCCACAACAGGTTGTTGTGCTCGTCCAGCAGCAGCAGCAGCAGCAAGAGCAAACAGCAAACAACGATAGCGACAGCAATGCCAACGGCAACAGCTCATCCATCTTCATCTGCTTATAACAACAGCCTCGCTGGCCACTCTCGACATTTGCAGACTTGACGTCACCAGCAACGGACCAGCCCGGCCATCAATTCCAGCACCATGATCTTGAGAAATACGATTGCTGGACAGGTGCTGCTGATGCTCTTGTACGCCCGTCACGCGTTCTTCTCCAGCGCCAAGACGGTCGCCAGCGAACAGCTGTCAATGGCTCTGCCGGAGCCACGTGCCTATCTGCCCGACGCCCAGAATCTGGACTTTGTCTATCATGATCACGAGGAGCTCACCCGATTCTTAAGGTGAGTGGCAATAATCTCTGGCTGGCGGCGTCGATAGTCAATGGATAGTGATTGTCTCTTCCAATAGAGCAACGAGTGCACGATATCCCAATTTGACGGCGCTGTACTCCATTGGCAAGTCCATACAGGGCAGGGATCTGTGGGTCATGGTGGTCAGCTCATCGCCGTATGAGCATATGGTGGGCAAACCCGATGTCAAATACGTGGGCAATATACATGGCAATGAGCCCGTGGGTCGGGAGATGCTATTGCATCTAATACAGTACTTTGTGAGCAGCTATAACACGGACCAGTATGTCAAGTGGCTGCTGGATAACACTCGCATCCACATACTGCCCACCATGAATCCCGATGGCTATGCGGTATCCAAGGAGGGCACCTGCGATGGCGGCCAGGGACGGTAAGATATTCTTTTTCTCAACCATGCTGGTGCCTTCGACCTTGCTATCCTGTGCGTTCCTTCCTTCCATTTCTTGCAGTTACAATGCGCGTGGCTTTGATCTGAATCGCAACTTTCCGGATTACTTTAAGCAGAACAATAAGCGCGGGCAGCCGGAAACGGATGCCGTCAAGGACTGGATATCGAAGATTCAGTTTGTGCTAAGTGGCAGCCTGCATGGTGGCGCCTTGGTTGCCAGCTACCCGTACGACAATACGCCCAACTCCAGTAAGTAGTCTCAAAAGTGCGTGACCATTGGTGGTATTCCCAGCCATAAAAAAACAAGCTCGGCCTCGCCTCTGTGAGAGTTCCGATTTATAAAGTTATCTTTCCCACAATGCTCTCTGTTTGAACTTTAATCCTTGCCTTCGCACCAATATGGCTGCTCAAAGGGATCTGCCGTTCGTCCGCCCTGTGCGCGAGTGAGTAGACGACGCCTCTGCTGGCCGACTCATCTAATCATTCAACATCTTCTCGCCCTCTCTCTCTCTCTCTATCTCTCTCTCCCTCTCTCTCGGTCGCCTGTTCTATTTGTATCTCTGTTTATTTGATTTATATTGTGTCGCACCACATGTCCCCTGGGCGCAGTGTTTCAGACCTATTCGGCAGCGCCGTCGCTGACGCCTGACGACGATGTCTTTAAGCATTTATCCTTGGTTTATGCCCGCAATCATGCCAAGATGTCAAGGGGCGTGGCATGCAAGTCGGCAACGCCCGCCTTTGAGAATGGGATTACAAATGGTGCCGCCTGGTATCCACTGACCGGTGGCATGCAGGATTACAATTATGTTTGGTATGGCTGCATGGAGATCACGCTGGAGATATCCTGCTGCAAGTTTCCACCGGCCTACGAGCTCAAGAAGTACTGGGAGGATAATCAACTGGTGAGTGCCGCTGCTTGCTGCTGCTGCTGCCCAACTGGATACTAATCTCTTATATAACAGTCCCTGATCAAATTCCTGGCCGAGGCGCATCGCGGTGTACAGGGCTTTGTCTTCGATCCGGCGGGTATGCCCATTGAACGAGCCTCAATCAAGATCAAGGGACGCGACGTTGGCTTCCAGACGACCAAGTACGGTGAATTCTGGCGCATACTATTGCCGGGCTACTACAAGGCCGAGGTGAGTGGAAAGGATTGGGCTTTCCAATTTGCACGAGGCTCATTTATCTATCCATTTTATCTGCCTGAGCCAGGTGTTTGCCGAGGGCTATGCGCCCCGTGAAGTGGAGTTCGTCATTGTCGAGCAGCATCCCACGTTGCTCAATGTCACACTGCAAGCCTCCAAGGTAAGTTCCGCTCCACTGATTCCCATTTATAATCCTTGTCTGGTGCTGGCCAATAATCTAACCCAACATCTGTAACCTGGTATATATACCGTGATCCTTTCGCAGTATATTGTTGCCCCCGTCGCCACCGTCGCCCCCACTAGCACCACAACGCCGCGTGCCCAGCGCCGGTTGGTGAACGATAAAATACATTTACCAACCGAGTAGAATCACCAAAACGCTGGAGCAACAGCAGCCCCCGCGTGTAAATATTCGCAGAGTGCTTTAGTCTTAAGGCTTGCCCACTAACCCAATTAGGCCCAACTAGGAATAACAAATTCTTCCGCTGGTGTGGAGGGAGAAGGAATGAATGCATTGCACTTGAACGATGGATACGGCAAATTGAAATTTTTGACCAAAGCTTAGAATTAATATCTAACAACTAGCCAAATTAATATATAATTATCCTATAATATAGTGTATTGAGTTTTAAATACTTTTAATTTTTTGTTCTATTTGGTGTTGGTTTCTCTTCGATTGAAAATGTGTGAGTAAAACGTATGTATTTACTTTAAGAATTCACTTGTTCCACAAAAACTCATAATACAATTAAGTGTTGTTCTTGTTATCAATATTATAAAATCTAATACTGGTTTTT